AGCAAATCATTTTATGCTATATTTCAAATGGAAATATTTTACTATTTATTTTATTCATCCAGTCACTACTATTATGTAACACTAATATGTGGAAGTTTCTAAAGTTGGAAGCAGTGATTGGCTTGTGACCCGTGACATAAAAGAAGTGTGTGTTTGCAGTCGTTAGTCGTGTTTCACGTGTCTGTGAATCTCAGAGAGTTTCAGTTAAATAACCGAGTCAGAAAGAGGCTGAATTATTCAGAGAGGTCAGAGATTAGAGCAAAAAAATCAATTTAAAACATCACCATACATTTCTGTTTCTTTCTTTCACCACATTGATCTTGTGGAGAGACCTGACCCCCGTAAAGTACTTCAAACCATCCCGCCCTGCTACGAGGACAGTCATGCACTGAATCATTGGTGTCCATAGTCTACTGATGTCTCACACTGGGGTCCACATGTCTGAGAGCAGGCAAGTTGTTTTGCTAATGACTGTTCTCTCGTTTAAGACGGGTTTGAATGCATCCATTGTATTTAGAACTTCCACTGAACAAACCTGAGTACTTCCACAGTGCGGAGTTTGAAAATCAGCAGAATCTCTGGACATGAAAATGCTGTTTGACAACAGTTTAGCGAGCTGCCCGGCCTTTCACTCCATAAAACACTGTTTATAGCCCCATTTTGCTTCCTCTTATTCCGATCTCCTATAAATCTCTGCTGTAGTTATGCAGCTGGAAGCCACTGCAGCGAGCGGACCAACGTACAGTATTTCAGTTTGAATAATGACAATTCAGGAAAAACATATTGGAGCTGCTTTGGTCCCTTTGTAATGGGATCTGAGCCTTTGTTTATAATAATTTATCAAGGTGACAGTCTGAGCGCACAACAAAACAACCCATACTTCAATTTTAGATTCCAGCACAGATACTGTATATATGCAGCGTCCATGTCCATTTGCACAAAACTAACTTCAAGCAGAAACTACTGCGATCACATAAAAAGAGCCGACGCCTGCTGTGTCACATAAACAAGATTTTTATTATGGTTTTGCGAACCCAACAGCCTTTCACAGTAATTCAGAGAAATATATTGTTTTCATCTTCTGTCTTAATTAAAACGTTTTTTCACTCTGTTCGGACATTTTCATGCCTGAAAACATGAGGAAGTTGGGACGTGATTTAATTTAGCTTTATTTATATTGTAAGTCTTCCTCGTTCACAAATGGACTTTTATCATTTACACTTAATTTCTGTCTGCAACTTGTTTGATAATTGTGATCCACTCGGTGCAGCAGTGTGAAATCCCTGAAGCTAATTCAGATGTTTTCTTGCAGTGTATTATAAAAGCTAAATGCTGCCGTCTGCCATCAAATGAAGCCATTGAGTCTTGCTACTGCCGCTGGTCTAACGAAGAGCAGTTAGATTTCTTATTAAGAGCAGATTAATGGGGAGAAGCAGTGGTGAGAGCCACGGGGGGTTTGGTCGGTTTGTTTTTCAAATAGATTATCGCTCTCCGAGTTTATACTATGTCCCTCTGCTCTCGTTTCTCCGGCATCAATGTTTACTTCATTGTTTTGTCTTATATTAAAAAAGTTTTACCATATAATCCAGAGTCATCACAGATTGATAAATGAAATCAAAGCACCCAAATCTTTTTTTTTTTTATAGCAACTTAACTATAAAGCTGCTTTCAGACGTGCACTGAGGTCCGCACATTGTCCTGAAATTTCCCGGAGGAGCCGTTTGTGAAAACGCAAATGTCCTCATCAGCTGCTCCAGACATTTCCCATTACTCCCCCTGACAGAACCCCTCGTACAATTTCAGAGTAAGCCCACGTGAGAATAAAGTTAGACACTGTCTGCAAAACTCACAGCGAGCGAGTGGGCGTGTTGGTGGCGTTTCTCAGTAAATCACTTTTAATTGTTTTGTTGACTTTGCAGATTCATCCAAATGCTTGCAGTGTTGTTGTCAATGCGAACACAAACGTTACGACTCTGCCGTTAACAAACACATTGGCAGAAGTTACATGTCAGGTAAATAAATATCCAGACATTTGCCCCAGAGTTCATGTCTGAAAACAGCTCGAGTGACGTCTCATCTTCAGCCAGAACATTCCGAGAAAGCCACCGTTTGCCACCTGCTCAGCCAGAGCGAAAGTGAACACTGGGTATTTTACATTCTTGTGATGTCTGTAAACGTGGCGCCAAATACAGGATTCTGTTTGAATCCTGTTTACTGCATTTCAACAACTTTATTTTTCCCAGCGAATCAAAATCATTCTTGAGTTCTCACACATCGTCTCCCATTGATTGATCAGAAATGATTATTTGGAGAGATAACCTTTAAATCAACCCAACAAATGATGAATTATCAGTTTCTTCTAACACCCCCTCCTGACTGCAGAGGAGGTCGACACCACGGATACAAGTAACAGCTGATTGGTCACAGAAATCTGCCGACCTTTGCGTCCGGCTGAGAGATGGTGCGAATATCAAGGACGGCTCCGTTCGATTATTAAGCCACTCTGCTGGACGCGTAAACAATTAGCAGTGTAGTTCACCGGCACATTTCCTTAAGAACTGAGCTAAGTGAACATTCGTCAGGGCAGCTTGTCTGTCACATGGATTCATGGTCTGTCTGCTTCTAGTGGCTGACAATCGATTAGCAGAACTCTTAAGTGGGAAAAAAAAAATCCAATAGCAAGGATCGAGGGCCAGAGGCAACAAGAGTCCGCTCTGTAATTCTCGACCACACACTGAATCTGAATTTCTAGCAGTGTAGCTGCACAGTTGACCCTTAACTCTCTTAAAACTGTGGCAGGATATTTCCTGAAGGATCAATAGAAGGTCGAGAAAAAGCACAAAAGAAAAAAAATAGCACAGATTCAAACTTCACTCCTGACATTTCCTGTGAATCGGCCTCAGTCTGTTGGGCTCGCTCGTTTATTTTTCTGTATTTTCTTTGGGTTGTAGATCTGCGGTGAATAGCAGCATCGTTTCATTTCAACATTCTCCGCTGGACTTTTCAAAGATTCAACGGCTCAAAAGGTCACGTTCTTTTCATTTTTGCAGTGCGGCGTATTTCTCCAGTTTAAATTAACCTGCAAACACACGAGGACGGCGCCAAATTGGAGCTAACTAAAAATTTTACACAACGCAGGGCGTGACGTGGATTCAATGAAGCCTGACAGAACAATAGGAATTGATTCTGGTCGGTTGTTTGAGGGCACCTCCTGATAAGCCGGCCCAGTGCTGCCATCAGTCTGTACCTCGTCTGCCTTTCAGCTTCCAGCGCTGCCGCCGAGGCTTTCATGCTTTCCCAGCTTAGTGATTCATTCATGCAGGTGATGCCAGGAGACCTCGCGGGCAACTGACAGCTCGATGACTGCTCCATGTCAGTGTTAGCAACGCTCACATCCACAGGCAAGCACTCGCCTGGAACTCACAGAGGACGTGCAGCCACGATGTTTGTCGAAAAAAAATAAAATGCATATATGGTCTCGTGCTGTCACCCTGGAAAAACAAGACTAGCAGGTTGCAGTCGTGCAGCTGCGTTCAGCAAAACTTTGAGCTTAATAGACATGTGAGCATGTGAACATGTTCACATTGACATCCTGATGTTTCACCACATATGTTGTGCCATGTTCACAGCTCAGCTTTATATGCAAACTTATCATATCACTCTACCTCCACTGTGTCTTCTACAGTAACGGCGGAAATGTAGATCTGAGCAAAAGCTGCTTTCTTCTTCTTCTCCTCCTCGGTATAAAGAATCAGTTCTTCATTCCACGTGAAGAATCCGCAGCTGCTGAGGCCATTTCATACCAGACGAGAGTATAAAGACATCAGGCTGGGCTGTGTTCACAGTGACTTTGCTAAATTCAAAAGGGACTGAATCCAAAATTGACCTTCATTGCATGGTTTTCATTTTTCATGAAAAGAAACCCTGACATACCTGAGCGTGTGTTAAAAGGCACAGGAAGTTTGCATCATCTCAATTTCTCTCAAAGCACAAAAGAGTCTCCGGAGAGTTCTAACTGGCAGCGAGCAGAGCATCTTGTTTTGACGGAGACAAACTCAACCTTTAGGCAGGAAGCTGGATTCTCTTCATAGATTAATAAATTCATTTTTATTTGCACAGCCCATATTCACAGATCACAATTTGCCTCGTAGGGTTTAACAATGTGAAACATCCTCTGCCCTTAACAATTCAAACGTGAGGAATCACCTCTCGCAGGACGGACACGAGTGCAAACACACTGCAGAAAGCGTCTTTTCATATCTAAACAATCAATCACAATCCTCGAGCAGCTGCCGCCACGATCACAATTTATTCAAACCTCCACAGATTGAAACTGATGTTCTGGTCCAGGCCAACACTCACGTGATAATCAATTCCAGTACAACCTGAGAATTGTGTTTCTAGTTTGACCGTTTGAATGTAGCTGCATTCATCACCGGAAGCTCCAACATGCCGGCCGTTGCTCTGAGAAGCTAATTCGTCATCAGACGATAGCCGCTTGGCTCGGAGGTCGTAAATAACATGACCTCCAGCCTCTGGCCAAATAAAGGTTAAACACCTACATGGCTCTTGCACCTCAAGCAATGCATGCTGGGAAGTCCTTGACTATGCTGCACCGAATTAAACAAACTCATATAAATAGTTGATAAGAGTGAATGATAAATTGTTAATTTGTTCTGATCATCGTTTCGAGTCGAAAGAACCTCAAGTTAGACAAACTCCGTGCAGCTCGTGTAACTTAGAGGAAACATGTAGTTTATTATATTTTGCAGTCTGTGATTTCACATATCGAGGTTGAACGATCTACAGCTCTTCGATCGGCCAACTCTCTTCTTTTTTAAAGTTTTCCTTTCACGCTCCCGCTCGCTTCCCTTGACCTTACGCGTCATTCAATTTTCACAAACAGAGCCCTATTACCCCCCCCCCCCCTGGTGGTGTTTTCTTCCACATCCATAAATGGTGCGTTCAATGACTGAATTGCTCTCTTTGTGTCCTCACAGTTCTTCATCCTCCTGCTGCTCATCTTCTTCCTGGAGATTCTGTCCATCATGCTTTTCTTCATCTACCAAGACCAGGTAAGACACCGTGATTCCTCTCCTCGTGTTACATCCTGTGATTTTCTCCACCTGAACAAGATAATGGCTGCACAACAGTCTTTTATTTGCCATGCAGACTTGCTGATGGTTGAGATGGAAGCTGGCGTGTAAACCGGCAGCAGGGAGATTGTTTTGAAGTTCATTCAAGCAGTGTAATTCGCCGGTTCAGAAACGCACGTGTCAGCTGACATCCTGCATAAATAATGGTTTGATGAAACCGCTCGAGAATCTGTCTTTTTTTGTTGTTTTCGTGATGTTGCCTCCGTTAGCGGGGAGATGTCTGCAGCCAACACCCGAGAAAAATACACGCGGTCACAATCTCCTCGTTAAAAAATCTGAATCCACCTCCGCTCGTCTATTTCGGGTGATTTCCCCTGTAAATAAACAAGTCAGGCAAGAGATAATATAATAATATGAATGTGTAATCCCTTTACATTTTCAGCTAAGGTGTTAATATTGCATTGAAAGGCCATGCCAAATTCCACCCGTCTTAATCTTAATTAAGGGATTAAAGTCTGGGGGAAAAAAAATCCAACAACAAATTATTGTTACGCGACACTGCAAACTTTAAACCCTAAAGACTCATGTGTAAAAGCACAAATAATAAAGTGTCTTCTGTTCCGTCCATTAACATCTGTGAGCACAGAACAACAAATATCATCTGACAATGGGTATTAGCCGGACTTAGCTCTGCAGGAGGGGAATTTAATTCCCAAAATAAGTCTGAGTTGATGCTGAGAATGACTCAAAAGTTCTAAAATAAGGTCAGAGTGCTCTAAAGAACGCCTCGAGGACCTGGGATATAATGTATAATGTAGAGCTGCTGTTTCCACAGAGCAGCGACCGACTCACTGTTCACGTCATCGCTTTAAGTTTCACTCTTGAGAGCCTGAACTTATTTTGGGGCAATATGAGAAGTAAGTTGTTTTATCAGTTACATTAAATGACAGTCAACATAACAAATGACTGCTTTTGATCGGATTTCTACAATAATTGTTACGTCCACCGAGGAGCTCATGTCTTCTTCTTCTCCCCGACTGTGCGTTTGTTGGTTTCCACGGAACCGGTGGAAGGATGTGGTCGGAGTCAGGGAAGAATCTATTTTATTTTGGTGCAGATGCGGGACTGGGACTGGGACCGTCCCACGTGATTTCATCCAGTCACAGGTATCGAACGTCTCGTAATGAGATGAAATAATCGTCCCACAAACAAACCGCAGATCATTTAATTAAGCGTACGCAGTATATTGTGCAGCCTCCGGAGACACCCAATATAACCGCGACCGGGTGAAGTGGACTCAAAGTGAAGAGCTCCCTCATAAATCACTGGCAATTTCCCGACCCCTCGTGTTATATTATTCATGAGTTGGGACAGAAGACATTATCCCCAAAGACTTAGGCCGAGGCCGAGCCGGAGTGAGTCCTGATGCCTCGGTGCATTTTGGTAAACAACACCCCACTTTGATATCTCCCCTTCTTTCTGGTTGAAATTCTGTTTGCGACCACAGACCTTGGACCTGTGCGTTCGCTGCTCTTTGATTTTCTGATCCTGGCACGATTACGTAAATGTGTTTTACCTCCATTGCAGTGTCTGTTTTTAGACCAGCCCCTTCTGCTGGGCTTCCTGCTAATGAATGAGTGAATGTTGTGTTGTATTTGTCACCTTCCTCTCTAGTATCTGTGTTCCCCCCGACGTTCAGTGCACCCCATTATTCTAGCCTCTGAATAATTCAGGTTCGTCTACCCGGGAGATGATTAGCGACAGGACGGAGGGAAAAGTTAGGGAAGGAAGGCCCAGATATTCTGCAGGGCTGGTGCACTGTGGGAAATCACTCGCAGTAAAGGATGGGTGGCCATTACCAAACTGCCACTGATATTCTTTAAAACCACAGGAGACTCAGCCACTCTCGGTATTATACTGCTGTGCAAAGTGTTCCCTGCACAGTGTCATGAAGTAGACCTCTGTGCATTTACTGAACGTGGAGATTCTCCAGAAATAAGTCAAAGGAATAAGATTTCAGATTATTATTATTATTATTATTAATATTGATTAAAAATTAACTCCCCAAATAGACTGTATACAAAGATGGACAGAATTAAGGCTCCCCAAACGAGAAGCCAAATGATCTGGATTGCCCCCTGGTGGCTGGCTGCAGGATAGGTCATAAACTCTGTCGCTCTGTCCATGTTAGTGGATGGGACAGAGACCAAACTAAAGAGATGACTTCTGCTATTCAGTTCTTCTCACTGATGTAGTTGATGGGTGAAACATCGTGATTGACGGCTGAGACTGACTCGAGCACGGTCGTAAAAAGAGTAACTTAATTCCTCAACTCCTCAATAGCTACGTTTAGCCAACTTAAACTTCGGGGAGGAGCGTTGGAAAACATCGTCGCCATGGTTGCTATGAGGAGACAATGCGGGCGGTAATATCCACGACCTCACATACTTTGCAAATCGAGCTACTTTCATCTCCCATTTATGTTTTATTGGATAAAAATGTCATATCTAGATTCAGTGATTTCAGAATGATTTGCCGTCATCATCGTTCAAACAGTTGCTGCATCTCACATGTGAAAACCTAAACAAAACAAGGATCAGGTCTCTCATTGTTTTTTTTTTCAGCTGAAACCGCCTTTGCAAAAAGAAAAACCCAGTGTTTCTTAATGTTCAGTCACTCTGGGCTTGGACAAGAGTGGAGTGATGGGGAAGCGAGTAGGGAGTAAGAGTGGAGGTAGAAATGTACCTCTCATCCTATACTAAAGAAATTAACGGAGAAAAGTGAAAAGAAATTATCAGTAATTGTTGGAGCCCCAGTTTCATTCTGTTCAGCAGAGCCTGCTCCTTTTAGCTCCTCCGTCACCATGGTAACTCCCCAGAAGCAGTCCTGCGGTTGGAGTGAGTCAATCCTCCTATACGCAAAAGCTTCCAGACGCCATGACTTCAACAGAGTGCTGCAGCGGGTGCACGTTGATGCACTCCGTCCCGGGCTCAAGGGACGGTCACGCTCCGCGGTGCGGCTTATTACACCTGCTTTACACTTGATAAAAGCTCGGCGCTGCGGCTGGAGGCGACTTCAAACACTTCACAGATCTCCCACACACCTGACACGGTCACCGAGTTTCGGGGCGATTGGCGTCAAAGTGTCAGCGGCGTGATATTGAAAACTGATATATGGGTATTTAGCTCCATCGCTGCATCGACGTTTACGGCTGCGTCTGTTCGGCTTCGGCGTCACCTCGAGGGGAAATTACTCCAGAGTTTGTTTAAAGATCAGACGACTACCAACAATCGACCAACGAGCATCACTTGTACTATTATAATTATGATTAGCGGCAATCCTATGATTAGTTCAAAGGTTTCCACACTGGCTTTGTGTTATTTTTGAATCAAGTCTAATGAGCCTCTCAGCCCTCTGAAGTGTATCAAAGCATATAATTACATGCCTGCACGCATGTATGTTTGTCTTTGTATTCACAAATGTGATTTAACTGGACTATTCGATTGCCTTATTTGCATATATAGTTTTACTTCAGTCAGATTACTCATGACACAAAAAAACTCTGCGTGTGCAATTCAAGAACTATATTTAGATTTCAATGTAAAACATGCAAATTTCCCTGTTGTGGGACTAATAAAGGATAATCTTATTTTAACACCATCCTCCACTGGACACCAGAGGTTGTTATAAGTGAATCAGGAAGCTTTCAAAAATAACTGCATCAGTAAAGAGACGACTGTTTACTCCGCCAAGGCCCAAGGCTGCACCGGATTAAACAAACTCATGAATAGTTCCTTAAATATGTCTGATTTTCATCGAGATCCATAAATTATCCTCAGTGAAATTAACAAAAACGTCATTAACAAAAATCTTTCCATGTTAAAGAACGTGAAGGAAAATCCTGCATCTGCTCCTTTGTCTGGATCCCTGCCAAAATTTAATGAGTTCTTTCTTAGTTTCGTGCAAATTCATTCAGTAGTTATTACATAATAATCCTGCTGGCAAATGGAAAAATCCTCCGAACACGCCGAACATAACCTCCTCGGTGGAGGTAAATTCAGTCCAGCACACTCAGAATATGGAGCGTACACATATCTAACTACAGCGAAACAAAACTGCTTTCAGGCATTGCGTGAAATTTTGACGGAGAGGCTGTTGTGTGAGGATGAAACTGTCTGGAGAAATCTCAGCGTGGGCGTGTTGATGATGTTTCCACCAAATATGAAAATAAGAATATAAATATCTCAGGGTGAAAAACGTGCTGCCACACACTGAGAAGATGCAAAACCAAGATGTGAAAGAGATTCAAGAGCTTTCGGTGGACGTCAGCGTCGATGAAACAAAACACGTGACTTATGCAGTGGAATTTACGGCTCCAGACGTTTTTCCCGACTTTTGCCTGAACAGGCCTCGAGTGAAACGGCATTAAAAGCATCGTCTGCAAACTTCTGAGTTGAGTGTGTTTCACAGCAGAAGAGAGACAAGCATGATGCTGACACCTTCGCAGGAAACAAGACCAAGGTCACAGAAATCAACATCAACTCACAATGTGCGGGTGAAACACAAACAGCAGATACTTACCTCGTTGAAGTGTAGCCATGATCTCCGGATCAATATTCTGCAAACAGAGAACAGAGGAGCGACTTCAACTTCAGTGAAAGGAGAAAAATACAAGGAATCCATCCCATTAACTGTGACACCCCATGCAAACAGCTCCTCTGTTCTCTGCGTGTTGCACTCGCACACATTCAAGATAAATAACATTTTTCATTCAACGTGAACTTTACAAATAAAAAAATAAAAAAAAGGAAGCTGCAGAGCGATCGGTCTAAACAAACCTTACACACATTATTAATGTGGCAGCTCGACGCTGTCCTGAGGTGACACTATCACACTGTTGACAAGCAGGCTTATGAAATGCTACAGAGATTCTGCACTGCAGCAGAAACTCCACTCAGCAAAAGGCTGGACCACACACACAGACACACACAGACACACTACGCACAGACACACACACTCAGGTGTTTTCACTTGTTCTGTCTGATCAGACCTCAGGTTTTCTGGGCTGAGCCTAGTGAAGACTTATGAGATGTCACCAGCTCTAATGACATTGATAAAATGTGTAAGTTATGAAATAAGCTCGGCCTTTTCACCACTGTGGGTTTTTTTATTTTTTATTATTTTTTTACACAGATATTTCCTGGCAGCACGTCAAAGATTCGTCAAATGTCCGAGGAGACGGTTTTAGTAAATATTGGGCGAGGCAGACATTTGTGAATGTCGGTGATGTGGTGCAGTGATGCTAAATGTTAAGTCAGAGTGAAATTGATAATTACCTCTCCTGTATCGACGGAGACATTTTAGTGCTTACAAGTAACACAACATATTAAGTACTCAAGTGACATATAAGTACACGGTCAAACAGGCACAGGTATAATTGTTGCACAAACCAGAAATAGATAAATGCTGCTACACAACAACACTCCACCTCAAACCCAAACGAACGACAGCAAACTTTTTAAAACCACCAGATCTGTCGTTGATAGCCATAAACACCAAAATCAAAACACCAAACAAGATGAAAATCCAAGGCTCAGGTGCAGACAACCGTCTCACTGAAGACTGATTTGAACATCAGGACGGAGGAACGAGGACAAAGAGCAGGAACGTAAAGCTGCAACACGTGAAAACAGCAGAATGTGACTCTTCTCTCCCCAGCGGCTGTAACGGAATTAAAAGGAGACGCCAGTCAAACTCAGTCTGTTCACACCCACGCAGTCCTGAGGGTAATTACACAAAATTAATGACAAAAAAATCTTTAATTCTTTGAAATACACAGCCTCACTTCACTTGGATAAATATTAATCATATTCATAAAGTGAGTATATTGGTGCAGCCGGCGTCGAGGCCTGATTAATCTCCTGTGGGGACCCTGGGGCAGAAATCTGTAGCAGGGTCTCTATTGACCTTCAATGTAAATTGTGCTTTTATTATTTCCTCAGGCGACGAGGAGCCATCGTCCACGACTCACATTATTAACTCATCAATCGATTTGTGGTTTAAGAGAAAATTATTCTGCATCGACTTCGGTCATTGATCCATTAAAGACTAAATATTCACCGGTGCCAGATTCTCGACTCTGAACCTGGTTCAACAATAAAAAGGCTGATTGAATATTTTACCTTGGGAATTAGAAATTGAACAATCAAGGGTGTTGTTGTCTTTGTTATGATATTTTGCAGTGGTATCAAAGTAAAAAAACTTTTACACACAAATATTTGTTAGACGTGACCCTAAAGTCCTCCCTTGACGGAGTAGTACTATCCAGCCAAAGTATTTTCATACTACATTCAAAATAAGACTTTTTATTTTTTTACCTTTAATATAAATATAGTGTCTTCTTCTAATATTATTAAGAATTCTTCAAATGTTGATTAAAGGATCTGAAAAAATTATTTTTCTAGTCTTAACCACTCAATGCACTTTACACAACGAGTAACATTCACCCATTCATGCAGCGCTTGTAACAGCAGCACGTTTTCTATCACACACCATTAATGCTCGGTCAGCGCAGCGGTCAAGGGCAGATTTGAGGCTCTGGACACTCTCGCAAGTGGACTGGAGGAGTCCGGCATCGAAAC